GGGGGGGGCGCCAAAGAGGTCACCGAGGACAATGACAACCCTACCAAGGATCTGGTTGTGACACTGGGGTTGGCATTAGCTCAGGCCCACCAGCTTCCCGAGCCCCCAGGTTCTCACAGGAGCTCACAGAGCCGTTCCCTGAAGGAATCGCTTGTCACCTCAGGGGTCCTCCCAAGACGTGGTCTCTGCGAGCCCCCCTCCCTTCCCCCACCGGAGGCACAGCTTCCTCATATCTTGCCAAAGGCCTCCCTGTGCTACAGATGCAGAGGGGGTTCTGGGTCAGCAGGGAAGTTTCTAGTTTCTGTGCTAGGAGCCCGAAAATGCTCAGGGAGGGGGCACTTCCTGTGGACAGTCAGTCACAGACTGGACCCACTGAGGTGCTCCTTCATGGGCGTCGACCTGCCCTCTTCCTACGTTAGCCAACCGTCCCCAGAGCAAGCTCTGCCCCAGCAGTTGAACAGTCGCACTGTGAAGGAGTCTCTTGATCTCTGGATGAAAGGGCCGGGCAGGGGACGTTTCTGGCCAACAAACTCTCCCAACAGCATCAGAACGGTGATGTTCCAGATGCTAACTTGTCGGCCAGCTGCGGCACATCTCCTTCCCTGGGGCTGCCTGGCAGAGACAGGCGCCCATGGTGGGGGCAGGGGGGTAGGGTGGTGCCATCCTCTGGTGCTCCTGGGTGCCAGGCGCTGGTGCTTCCCTGGAGGAGGCACTTCCGCCCGCTGGGCACAGGCCCAGCATTTTGTTTGTGCACTAAGAGGGCAGCAGATGCTCGGGACCAGGGAGGGATGAGCAGGCAGCTGGGGTGAGGGATGGAGGGGGCCAACAGCAAGATAGCTTCGACTAGGGGGTGGGCTACCAAAGAGGAGGGATGGGGATAGCGTGGGGTGCAAAGGGAAATAGCTGCTCGTTTCTGGAAAAGAAAAGAAAAAAAAAGGCTCACGCCTCTCCATAGAGCAGGAAGCCATGTTTCCAAGTGACTCAAATACACTAACTTTGGCTACTCGGTTGGTCTTTTTACCTGGAACATGATTACCTGGACCCTACGATGCTCGAAATGGAAGCAGTAAAGGGTGAGAAGAATTCTTTAGAATCCTGACTTTGACATATTATTAATTATTTGTTTTTAAGCCGTAGAAAGAGCTACATAGCAATGAAGCTAATTCTCTCTTTACTTTCCTCTTAGGACACGCATGTGCGCAGTCATCTTTTTGCTGGCTTATACAATCAAAACGTTTTCCGGTTTGCCACCTCCCCTAACCACCCAACTTCAGATGTTCATAAGGTACTTTGGAGGCATTAAAAAATCCAAAGCCCAGAGACTCAATAATGTTGGCCAACTCATGATGACTCTTGAAGTAAGACTTGCTTGGACAACTGGTGTAGGCTACATGATGGTTCATCACTGAGATATTGGGTTTGATTTCCTCCTACACCCAATATTTCCCTAAACATACCAACTCCCAAATGGAAGGACTTTTGTCCCCTCTCCCCCAATTTCTTATATTGTTTAGTGGAAAGACCAATCAATGAAGACCACCCCAAATAGCACCCAGTGAGAACAATATGGTTATCCAAAACTAGAAAAGCAAACCCTAAAATGCATATCAGCAAATGAACAAAAACAGCAAAAACCCTAAAAGGCAATTCTTGGTGTTTTTCTTCTTGATGTCTGTTCTCTGAGAAGCTGGTCTTGACCTCTAATGTCTACTTCACAGAGATACGTGTGGTTGACCCTACAGAACCCCTGGCCTTCCTTTGGGGCCCTGATAGGAGCTGCGGCCAGGGGGCTGAAGCCCCAGAAGATTGTAATAAAGAGGATGACTGTGAATAGAGCCACATTGCAGGTGCATGCAAGGAGCTCTGTAACAAAGATTCTATTGCAACGCGTTCGGTAAAGAAGTCTTTTGCGAAGCAAGTCACAGCGCAGCTGCTGAACTTGTGGTGTGTCAGTTGGGATTTTCTGTGGGTCAGGTTTGTTTTGAGTGAACTGTAGAATCACAGGTATGTATAATATACTCATGCATATATATGGGGAGAGCAGAGCCAAAACCAGTTTATCATCTTAAAGCATTTACAAGAAGCAATACCTGCAGCGTGGTGGATGCCACGCAGGTTAGGCTGTCTTTCCTCTGGGACACAGGCTGCCGGGAGCTACACGTTTGGTCATCTTGCCCATAAAATGCTGACTGGACACTTATTGTAGAGTGCCGAGGACACTGGAGATTCAAGTGGTCCCCATCACAGGCATAGGCGGTGTGGTTTTGCAGGAGTTTAGTTAGGTAACCTGGAAAACATTCAGCCGTGTAAAAATGGTGGCGTGGGGGCCTTGCGCTCCTCACCTAACTTCACAAGGTGCGAGAATCTGTGCCGGCATCGCAGGACAGGGCTGGCTGCTACGATCAGACTTGACGCCTCGCATTGTATTCCAATTCCGACACCAGCTGTCCCTCCCCTGGCACTCTCGTCTTCTCTGCTGGGTTTGACGGTTCATGACAATGGCCCCCAGAACTCACAGCCCACACTCACAGTTCTAGGGTCATTCGGGAGTGAAGGGTTACAAATCAAGGTCTCAAACACTCACTGCCATTGAGTTGATGCCGACTCAACGACCCCATAAGGCAGGGGAGAACTGTCCCTATGGGCTTCCGGACTGTAACTCTTTACGGCAGTAGAAAAGCCTCATCTTTCTCCTGCTGAGTGCCTGGTGGTTTTGAACTGCTGATGTTGTGGTTAGCAGCCCGAGGTGTAGCCCACTATGCCACCAGGGCTCCTAATTCAGGATGGAGATAGAGTGATTCAGTCAGCCTTGCCCACAGGCCCTCAGCCCCCTGGGCGTCTTGGGCTAGCCCAGTCTCTGTCCTGGTCAGGTGTTACAAAGCTCATTAACACCACCATTAAGTACCCAAAGGCACCCACTTGACCAGCAAGCCTCAGCCGGAAGCTGATGGGCAGTTCTCTCGTTCCTGGGTCTGCGAGCCTGGCTCCTCCAAGTTCCCAGAGGTACCCCACTCTGCCAGCAAGCCTTCTGCCCGAAGGTGCTGAGCTCATGTGCGCTACACCATCTCCTGCCGGTCTCCTGATTCTGCTGCTGCTGCTGGTTCTCAACTGCCCGGATGGCTCTTCTCTCCCTGCTGTGCTGCCTCTAGTGCTACAGCTCTCTGGCTCCTGGGTCTAGGAGGTGCTCCTCGCAGGAACCCAGGTAGGTGTTGTATGCCCTGCTCCTGGCTCTTCTTTTTTGGTGGTAGTGAGTTCCCCCTTTCCATCTCAGGGATGGCTCATTTTAAGTCAAGTTGGATTGCAAAACTGACCAGTCCTCTCATTAGGATTCCATAGACCTTAACTGTATGACCCCACCCTCACAAGGGTGCCACACACTTTATTTGTCTTATCAGCAAGCTGTCGACGTTCTCTTTGGTGGGCCCCAAGCACCGGATTTGCAGAGGTGGGAACGGAGATCTGGCAAGAGCATGGCTAGAAACGACGAAACACAGCTTTCCCCTAGTTCCTAAATGCTTCCCCTCCCCGCACACTCTCATGATCCCAATTCTACCTTACAAATCCGGCTGGACCGGAGGATGTACACTGACACAGATAGGAACTGGAAACACAGGGAATCCAGGGCAGATGAACCCCTCAGGCCCAGTGCTGAGAGTGGTGATACTGGGAGGGTGGAGGGAAGGTGAGGTAGAAAGGGGGAATCAATTAGGAGGATCTACATATGGCCTCCTCCCTAGGGAACGGACAGCAGAGAGGTGGGTGAGGGGAGACGTCAGACAGTGTAAGACATGACAAAACAATAATTTCTAAATTATCAGGGGTTCACGAGGGAGGTAGTGGTGGGGAGGGAGGGGAGAAATGAGCTGATACCAAGAGCTCAAGTAGAAAGCAAATGTTTTGAGAATAATGAGGGCAACAAATATACAAATGTGCTCGACACAATGGATGGATGGATGGGTTGTGATACGAGTTGTATGAGCCCCCCCCCCCATAAAATGATTATTTTTTTAAAAAGGATGGCTAGAAAGGCCATCTGAACGTGAAAGGTTACACTGCAGGCCAGCTGCCAAAGCTCCAGGAGCCCGCTCTCAGGGAAGTGACATGACTGGAGGTGGCTCTTATTACCACAGTTGATGTAGTTCTCCCCAACAACTGGGTAGGAGCATGCAAATCAGGTGTGTGTGTGGGGGGGGGCGGGGCTTGAAGACCGGGATTGGTCAGTTTGGGCATCCTGCGGGGCATAAAGCAAGCCACTTCAGAAGCAGAACCAGAGGCCCCCACAGCCATTAAGAATGAAGAGCGGTCAGTGATGTGCACATGAGATCCCTGTGTGAAGTGGCAGTGGCAGCCGGGTCACCAGAGGTCACAGCAGGGGACCTGAGCCAGGAGATGGAGCAGCCAGCTAGAAAGAATAAACCTGAAAGCCTCAGGCAGGAGACCGGCTTGCTGGGCGGGGCTGGAGTGGAGCTCTGTGGCACTTGCCTGAGCAGGACAGAGGCCAAGGGGCCACATAGCTGAGAAGAGGTGCTTCGGAAAAAAGAACCCTCTCTTTACCATTTGGTAACCTGTTAACTTCCCTAATGAGCCCCACTATGGTAAGTATTGTCTGTGCGTTCTGTGTGGCTGCTGTCGTGGATTATCAAAGCCAGAAGGAAGGGAGAGTCCCGTGGGAGGGACAGGTTGAGTCCCAGTGGGTAACGGAGGAGGGAGGGTGAAGGCATCTCTGACCCCTGCCATGGGGCAGTAGGCCTTGGGCTTGTGGAGTTGGACTCTCTTCTCCCTTTAGAAGCTGGGCATCAGGCATAACTTTCACTCTACCTCCTCGCCACCCCACTCTTGCACAGCACCCCTGGAAGGGCTGGGAGGGGATGGGAGCCACCTGAGCCGCTCGAGCCAGGGGTGAGGTCTGGAGACGGACTCAGAGCTGGGGCTGCAGCACACGTGCCCCTTCTCACGTCAGGGCTAGAAGCTTCTGCTCTGCTCTGACCAGTGCAACCTCAGAGGGCACTTTCCCCCCAGGAAGCGCTGAGGGCTTGGCTGGGAGCCAGGGAGTCCCGGGCATCTCTATAAAGCAGGAAAGCACGCTGAGTGGGTGGGTGCATGGAGGCATGTAGTGGCCTGTCCCGAAGGGAGATTCGGGCTCTCTGATCTCCCACAAGCCGACCTGGAGAGAAGGGATGCGGTTTGAGGTCAGGACGTCACCCCTGGACCTGCCTCATCCTGGAGGGCCTGCCTGCTCTGCGGGAGGAGGGGCGCACAGCAGGACGCAGGGGGCAGTGATGGTGCTGGGCCTGGGCCTCTGAGAAGGCCGTGGAGCCTGGGTCATTTCTCAGAAAGGAGGAAGGGAGGTTTGTCCGACTGTGGAGTCCCTTCCTCCCTCTCACACCTTTGTGAGGTCAACAGTCAGGTGCTGGGAGGAGAGCCAGGGACTTTTTGCTGAGGTGTGTGGGAGACAGGCTTGGCAGCCCGCAGCCTCTGAGAGGGAGGATGTGGCTCACTTGAAGAACAGGGAGGGGGCGATGGGAACACTGCAGTCCCCACGTGGACCAGGCTGTGCTTACACTGTTCTGTGTAGGTCAAAACAAGCCTCCTCCAAACCATCCATCTCAGGCAAACGCACACCACACACACACACACACACACACACACACACACACCACTGCCCTGAGCACCCCCAAAACCCTCGGCCAAAGGGAACAGGACATAGCCTACTCTAAGGATGTCACAGGTCCCAATCCAGAATGTTCGAAGGCCCAGGCAGGGAACGCACACACGAGCAGCCTCAATCCAGCCCTCGGCTCTCCCCCGAAACTCCACCCCGCCCCAGCCCCAACCCCTGCCCACTCACCTCCGAGGCCATCAGACCAGCCAAGAAACCACTGAGCTAAGTCCGCTCAGAGAGCAGCGTCTGAACTAAGAAGCGAAATGACATCAGGTAGTAGGAATATGACAAAGGCACCCCGAGGCAGAGAGAGGCCAAGCAGGGCCCTCCCTGGACCCCAGGGCCATGGCAGCTCTTGCCTTCCTCCAAGGCACGCGGGAGACCCCAGGTGATGATGGGGTGGGGCTCATCCTGGGGCTGGGGTGGTCTGGGGGCAGAGTCCTTGGCCTCCGTGCTGTTCGATTCCCAGCCGAAGCCTCGTGCAGCTATCATCCGTGTGTTAGAGACCCAGGGTGTGTGGCTACGACACAAAACAGGTTTACATGGGGCTGCCAGACCAGCGCAGAGGAGGAAGAAAGGCTGGGTGAACTACTTCAGAAAAATCTACCCAAGAAAACCCTAGTAATCACAATGGGCTCACAGGCACCCATAGCTCCCCCCTCCCCGTGCGTGTCCCAGGCTCCTCTGTGGTCTCTCTGCACCTTGTTATGAACTACATCCTGTCCCAAGGAACTCAGAGCATCCCCCAAGGCTGTCCGAAGGCTGGTACCCTGGTAGTGAGATCGCCTTAGGCTATTCAGGAAACGTGCCTGCCAGTTCGGACAGAGGTTTACTACCAACTGAGGCCAACACTCACTGACTTCTCAGTGTGAGTGTGTTAGTCCGGGTTTACTGGAGAAACAAATCCAGGGAGACACTCAGATGTGTATAAGAAAGAGCTTTATATAAAGAGTAATTGTATATTAAGAAAATATCCCAGCCCAGTCCAAATCAAGTCCATAAGTCCAATATTCGCCCATCTGTCCGATACTAGTCCATGAATTCTTCTACAGACCCACGCAGCACATGCAATGATACCGAAAGCAGGAAGATCACAGGCCAGCGGGTGAAAAGTCTTTTGGAAGCATGTCAGCGCTGGCGTGGGTCTCCATGTGGCTCCTCCAGCTCCAGGGCTCTGGCTCCCTCAGTGGAGCGCCACGTGGCTTGTCACTAGGAATGTCTCACAGGGAGATGAAGCACAGAGAATGGATCTGGCCTCCAGTGAACTATCTCCTTAGCGCCTCCAAATGAGGTCATCAAGCTGCGACCTAAATGACAGGCTAGACTACACCCTTTCACTTCAGTCTCAAGTTGACACCAGATTACGTAACTACCACAGTGAGACTGGTGGTAGGCTGGTTCATGGTTTGTCGGGAAGGCCATGTGCTATTCTGACGGAATGAAGGAAATAGGTGACAAGAGCCTTTAGGCTGTGGACATCCAGGATGGAAGGGAGCAGGATCCCAGGTTCACTGGGGGAAAGAGCCATCTGCTCCCTCCACAGACTATCAACAGGAGTACGGGAAGAACTTCTGCTGGGTTGGGCCAGCATCTTGCATGAGAAGTCCCAGGTGGCGTGGACAACG